AGGAAGACTCGTATCTCAATTCGGAAACTCAGGCAATCTCATGCACTGGGTCTACAATCTCGTGCTTGAAATTGGTTGCGACAGCCTATTCAGAATCCCGTGGAGAAGCAAAAACGACGTTCATGGCAGCAGCGACAATAATCCAACGAGTTCGGGACAAAGAAAAGTCTGACACAATTCCGATTCTACTAATCGCAAGAAAGCTCCTAATTAGTACCTCAGATCCCGAAAGATCGGACTCATTTTTGCGCCCTATCAGGCTCTAACATGACCTCCAATGGTCAATACGCACACTATTTTTAGACTCAGAAAATTTCCTCTCAGGATTTTCGCGTATCTGTGCGAGAGAAGCAAGTTTTGAAAATTTTCAATTATCGCACTTAAGCATGAAATATCTTAGTAAAACGTAAGCTTTTTATGCGGGGTAGTTCCCCAGTTAGTAACATCTCCCAAAAACTTTGTGTCCGCACATGAGACTTGACATAGATGAAAGCTGAATTTTCGATGTTGCACACGGACAGGAAACGTCTTATTAAAATTCTTATCTTCTTTGCCTTTGTGATTTTTGAGTTGGAAAACTCGATAAAAATCCGGACACACACACAAAAACCCAGGCGGACATATGTACACACAGAGTCTCGACAATATGCTTTTTGCATTACTGTTGCATCGCAAAGCGCACGGCAAACGTATGGCACTTTATTGGAATAAAGATGTTCTCCAAAACACTCAAAACATGGAAATTTAGCTGTGAAAAAAAAAGATTTGGTATTTATGATTAATACGCTTATTACAGTTATCTTATTCACTGTGCTGTAATGATATACAGTTTAAAAAAAGGCATTTTTTCTTAGGCTGTCTACGGAATACATTTGTTTAGTCCATAGGTAACATAAGAAAAAATGTCTTTTTTTAAACCGTAAATTTGTAATTTGTTCCAAGTCATAATCTATATATGGGGAACGCCTGAGAGTAGCATGGAAATGTAATTGTAAATGAAGTAATTTATGTTATTATGATTTGTGGGTTTGTTTCCATTGTCTAGGTCATGGTACTATAAAGCGATTTATGGGGTATCTGTGCAAGTTACGGCCCACTTTTTAGGAAAAATTTCCTTTGTTTAATTGCAAATTGGTAGGTTGTTCCAAGTTTCAAACTAGATTCTGTAAGAATGTTGAAGAATTTTCTTTGTTTGCTGCTAGAGTTATGCAGATTTCATTGCCTAAGAATTTAGTCACGCTGAACTTTTGATTATCAGGCTTGTTTATTAAGTGCTAAATATTATCATTCGCATCCTTCGACAATATCCTACCTTTAATGCCACCCGTTTACTCCATGTTTTGTTGTAGTAATGTAGTGCAAAGGCGCAATCGCGTCACGTGGTAGCAGTGACAATAACACGCTTCCCATACCCAGCGCATCTGCGGCAAAATCAGCAACACGGGCCCTAAATCAGCAACACGGGCCCTGTTTCCTCCGGTCCATCGCCCCCTCTCCCCTACGTGACCACTCAACTTTCCCTTCACCCCGTGCCCGCTTTTCCTCCCTGCCTCCCTCCCTCTCCTTCTTACCGCTCCCCTACTACACGACCTGCGGGTCAATCCGCAAATCACGCAGCTGCCGAGGCGAGCCGAGCCGAGCCGAGTTATAGTAGTTGCCCAATTTCCTCCGCCAACTTTCCTGTCACAAATTGAATCTACGAAGGTTTCATCCATCCCTCATCCCTATGAGACCTATTCTGGAATCTTGGATGACGTCCGTTTCGACGATCGTGATAGGTAATATCTATTACAAAATTCTCAGTATATAAGACGGACGATCCGATAATCGGGGTCCGCGTGTTTCTTCAGTATAGTACATCATCGTCCACCGTCTAAGTGCCTCCTTCACAATCGACCTACCCACACCAGTACTAATGATTCAGCAATTACCCACTCTTGTTATTGTCACTGCGTTAAACAATAAACTCTGTCATCGGCTCAGTCTAGCACCCACATTGGTTCCTTCGGTCCGTCGACACGTTCGT